TATTTGTCTTTTTGTTATTGAGGTGTTGGAGTTTTCTATAAATTCTAGAGATAAGTCCCTTGCCAGATATGTCATTGCCAAATATATTTTTCCCAATCTGTAGGTTCCCAAAGACTACAGTCTTCTGTATGGATTATGACAGAACATAAAGAAAACAAAAATCCTCACAATTGGACCAATAAGCAATATCATGATAAACAGAGAAAAGACTGAAGTTGTCAGGGATTTCATTTTACTTGGATCCACAATCAACATCCATGGAAGCAGCAGTCAAGAAATCAGACGTTGTACTGCACTGGGCAAATCTGCTGCAAAAGACCTCTTTAAAGTGTTAAGAAGCAAAGATGTCACTTTGAAGACTAAGGTGAGCCTAACCCAAGTCATGGTAGTTTTCAAATGCCTCATATGCATGTGAAAGCTGGACAATGAATAAGGAAGACCAAAGGAAGAAGAGTTGATGCCTTTGAATTGTGGTGTTGGTGAAGAATACTGAAAGTACCATGGACTGCCAGAAGAAGGAACAAATATGTCTTGGAGGAAGTACAGCCAGAATGCTCCTTGGAAGTGAGCATGGCCAGACTTTGTCTCAATTACTTTGGTGAAGTTGTCAGAAGGGATCATTCCATGGAGAAGGATATCTTGCTAGGTAGAGGGTCAGTGAAAAAGGGGAAGACCCTCAACAAGATGGATTGACACAGTGGCTGCAAGGATGGGCTCAAGTGTAGTAAGGATTGTGAGGATGGTATACACAGGGTCACTATGAGAGGGAGCTGACTTAATGGCACCTAACAACAACAACATATATCTTTATTGACATGACTTAAAATTTTCTCTACTTTCAAGCACAATTAACTAAGCTAGTAAAATCATGCTTTATTTTCTCAAAAACCATTTTAATGGATTAGTAAGGGCTAGAGCCAAGATCCACCATTTGTCTGTCAGTTTGTCATACTGCAGTGGCTTGCTTGTTGTTATGATGTTTGAAGCTATGCCCCTAGTATTTCAAATTCCAGCAGGGTAACTCATGGTAGACAGGTTTTAGTGGAGCCTCTGGACTAAGACTGACTAGGAAGAAAGGGCTGGCAATCTACTTTTGATAATTATCCAATGAAAATACTATGGACCACAACAGAACAGTGTTCAGTATAGTGCTGGAAGATGAGCCTCCAAAGTTGGAAAGCACTCAAAACAAGCATTGACTACAATAATGTACTCTAGTATACCAATGATGGTAAAGATGGCACAGGACCAGACAACGTTTTGTTCAGTTGTACATGGAGTCATCAAGAGCCAGAGTCAACTCAACAGCAACTGATAACAACCAAGGTAAAATAATGGGGCAGCATGAGACCACTACAGTTCCATCCTTGAAGAAGACTTCTTGATCCAACAGATTAGACTTTCTGGACTAATATGGTACCTTTCCCCTCAAAAGCTCTTTCTTTTTCTTCCAATGGCTGACATATCTCTCTAATAATTTTTCCCTACAGATTTTGGCTAAATTTGCTTTAATTATCTCTTCATATAACAACAATTCTGTAATTTTTTCTTTCTGGATTGATATTTTAAAAAAATACATAGTAGAGTTCTTCCTTCCTCTTTGCTCTGAAGTCTACTATGGCTGATATTAACATGGCCACTTTCACTTTATTCTGAATAGTGTTTGATTCATATAATTTTCCCATCCTTTTACTTTAAAAATAGTTTTACTGATACATAACTCAAAGTACAGTGTACCTATTTCAAGTATACAATTTCATGGTTTTCTGTATATCACAAAGTTGTACAATCACTACTAATTCCAGAACATTTTTATGACCTCAAAAGGAAACTGTATCCAAACTCCCCATCCTCCTCTCTTCTAAGCATCTAGCAATTTCTAACTATTTTCTATCTCTATGGATTTGTCTATTTTAAATATTTTATACAAATATAATCATACAATATCTGACCTTTGGGTCTGGCTTCTCTCACTTAGCATAATGTTTTTTCTTTTTTTGCACTTTTAGTGACATTGCTTACTTTGGTCAAGCTGTGTTGATTATACCCATAATCAGTGCTACTTTTCCTATCACACACACACAAAAAAAGGCATATACAATCTAGAGAGTGATTTCTTCTCCCCCTTATCCCTGGTAACCACCAATGAACACTGGTCCCTCTATTATCTACTCTTATTTTCTTATAAAACTGGGATCTTACAATATTTGTCCTTAGTGATTGACTGATTTCACTTAGCATTACGCCCTCCAGATTCATCTTATAAGCATAAAGTTTTGCAGGTTCATCCATGTTGTAGCACATATCAGTTTTTTTTTCCCCTTTTTATGGCTGAATGATATTCTATTGTATGAACAGAATATACTTTATCTGTTGGCTAGCTGATGGGCATTTGGGTTCTTTCTACTTTTTGGCTATTATCAATATTGCTGCTATGGACATTTGTAAGTAAGTTTCTGTATGGATATATGCCTTCCTTTCTTTGGGGTATCACTGTGGTGTGCCATCATTGTTTAATCTTTGAAGAATGGACATTATTTTTCAAAGTGGCTGCATCATTTTACATTTTATCACTTTATGTCCCATGAAATGGTATCTCACTGTGATTTTGATTTGTTATTTCCTGATGACTAATGATGTTGGCCATCTTTTAATGTATTTATTCATATAACCAAACCTACTGACATCAAGTTGATTCTGACTTACAATAACCCTACAGGATAGAGTAGAACTGCTTCATGGGGTTTCCAAGACTATAAATCTGTATGCAATCAGACTGCTTCATCTTTTTCCTATGGAGCAGCTGATGAGTTTGAACCATTGACATTCTGGTTAGGAGACAGACACTTAACCATTGCACCACCAGGACCCCCATGTGCTTTTTAGCCCTCTGTGTATCTTCCTTGGGGGAATGTCGGTTTAGAACTTTTGCCCTTCTTAAAATTGGGTTACTCCTCTTTACTATTGAGTTTTAAGAGTTCTTTATATATTCTGGGTACTAGTGAACAAGTTTCAGACATATGATTTGCAAAAACTTTCTTCAACTCTATAGGCTGTGTTTTTATTTCTTGATGAAGCACAAAAGTTTTTAATTTTGATGAAGTCCAGTTTATCTAGTTTTCCTTTAGGTGCTTAACTTTTGGTATCATATCTACATACCCTTTTCGAAGTTTGAGGTCATAAATATTTATGCCTATGGTTTCTTCTCAACAACAACTACATGGTTTCTTCTAAGAGTTTTATAGTTTTAAATCTTACATTTAGATCTTGGATTCACTTTGAGTTAATTTTTATATATGGTGTGAGTTAGAGGGGGAATCCCCATGAACACTTTAAAACCAATTCTTTATACTGTTTTAGGTCAGTATTCCAACTAAAGGCAAGGAAATGTATAGAGGAAATAAAATAATCTAAGTTTCTGCAAGGGGTCATGAAACTGAAGGAAATTAATTTTAAATGTTCATCTTTTCCCCTTAATGATACTTCTTTCCTATAGCCCTAGGGCTTAGAAGAAAAAAAAAAATCCACCACTGATAATTTGACTTGTTAAGGAATAAGAATTACACTATCTCTAATACATCTAAAGTGTATCCTGATTTTAAGACATTTATAAGACCAAGCAAGGCAAGGAGGCTCTTTAATTATTCCAGGAGTTGGGACAACTCAGTCCACTGACATAACAGAGTATGTAAAGTGTATGTTCTATATCTTAGTTTGGTGAGTAGCATCTAGGGGCTTAAAAGCTTATGAGCAGCCATCTAAGAGGAAACTACAGGACCCTATGTATCTGGAGTAAAAGAGAAAGAAGAAAACCAAATACGCAGAGAAGAAACTAGCGCACAGGACTAAACAGTCTACATGAACCACAGCCTATCTTACCCTGTGACCAGAAGAATTAGATGGTTATCACTAGTACTACTATCTGTTCTGATCAGGAACACAACAGATGGATCCTGACAGAATGGGAGTAAATTGTGGAACAGAACTCAAATTCTTAAGAAGTCTAGACTTTTTAGACTACTTGAAACCAGAGGTCTCCTGGAGACTATTTTCCTGAGATATTCTTTAAACCTTGAAATAAAACTATTCCATGAGGTCATTTTTTAGGTAAATAACAGATGGCTCATAAAATAAGCAGCATCAACTGTGAGTACTGTGCTCCTTTAAAAGATCATCTGCATGAGATCAAATATTCAACACTTACTCACAAGTAAAGATAAAAAGGCAAAGGGGGAAACTAAATTATAGGAAATGGAACAACCAGAAAGGAAATAATGAGAAAGCTGATATACTGTGAAAGATGTAAACAATGTCACTAAACAAATTACATGTTGTTGTTGTTGTTGTTGTTGTTGTTGTTATGTGCCGTGGACTCAGCCCTGACTCATAGCGATCCCTCCTTGGGCTTCCAAGGCAGTATCACTACGGAAGTAGGATTGCCCAACCTTCCTTCCGAGGAGTGGCTGGTGGGTTTGATTACATAGAAACTGTTAAATGGAAATCTAATTTGCTGTGTAAATTTTCACTGAAAACACAATGAAATATTTTCTTCCTTTTTTTTTTTTGCTCATCTATAAGATGGTAAGAATATCTCCAATCTTTCTGAAGGTTCCCTAAAAAGCACAGAAGCTAGGGAACACGGTTTTTATAATAATGAGTATGAAAAAGGTAAATGCAAGTCGTATCACTAATGAAAACAATTCAAAACACAAAGATAGTAAGACAATGGTCTCATTTTTGTACATATAAATGCCTCAACAGTCTTCTCTCTCTCACACATCTCTCTCTCTCTCTCTCTCTCTCACACACACACACACACACACAAAGGGAAATGGGGTCATAAGGAGGAGGGGTCAAGTAGAGTCCATAAATAGGACATTTTGCAGAAGAACCAGTGTAATGCAAATCCACAATCTAGAAATGAATATCCCTGTGACATTCTGCATGCTAGTATGGTTTTAAGAAATTTCAAATGTCATGGTACATAGAGGGTTACTCACAGGAGAGAGTTTCTGGATGAGGTCATGGGCAACATGGACAAGGTTCTTGTCTTCATGGAGACACTTTTGAAATTTTTTGCTTTCCTCATCTTCTAGAAGATCAAAATCAATAGCAGCATCTAGTAAGGCCTGAATTAACCCCTTCCAGGATTTTAGTGCTGGAACCTGAGGGGCAACTGCAGCACTAATGCCTGTTCCAATCACCAGCACAAGTTCCTGAGGCTTCTTAGTTTTCAAGCTTGGAAGTAGCTTCCTGAGAAAGTAAAACAAGTAAGAATTAGGAATACAGAACACATATGAGGCACATGGAAAGACAATCTGACTAAAAACATAGGTTTAGCCATAACTTTTATGGTTGCAAAGATGATAAATACCAGTTTCTGACATTTCTCTAAACTAGCTTAAGCAGAAAGACCAGATTATTGTGCTAGTGTTTGCAAAAGAATACAATTATTTCAGGAATCCTAAGCCACTCCTCGGAAGGACGGTTGGGCAATCCTACTTCCGTAGTGATACTGCCTCGGAAACCCAAGGAGGGGTCGCTATGAGTCGGGTTTGACTCGACGGCGCATAACAACAACAACAACAACAAGTAATCTTGTATTCTTCTCAAGAAAACCCACTAGTCTTAGAAAAAGGTACAAATATATTATGGTTCTGTCAGATATATGTCAGAGTTCTGACAACTAAATTATATTTTAAACTAACATTAAATTTCAAAAGAATAGGTTTGATTTGGGTTCCAGAAAGAGAGAAAAAGAACACGATAAAAACTAGAATCCTAAAATAAAAAAAACAGCTCTCATTGTTGAGAAACATAAGTGAAGATGAAAGCAAGGCAATGAAAAATTTAACCCCCAATTTTATAAACATTATAAAGATAAAATTGAGCATGAGATAGCCATTATGGGAAAAAATAAGCCCTTGAGTTTTCTACATTTCCTCAGGCAAGAAACAAAAGTCAAATTCCCCTTGAGAATTCTGAAAACACAGTAACTCCACATACATAAACAACAAAGATAGCTATTCAAAGGATCTAACAAAAAGTAAAATACTTTCCTTTCTCACCATGATAAGCACAGACAGATTTAGGTCTTGAAACTTACAAGTAAGATAGCATGGGTACCAGTTTTTGTTTGTTTATTTTTTTGTCCCATCTTCCTTTCATTCTGTAGACTATATTAAAATACCTGTTTATTTACTTATTTATTTTATTGTGATTTGGGTGAAAGTTTACGAGCAAATTCACTTTACATACAGCAGCTCACATACACTTTGTCTCATGACATTGACTGAAATTTCCCACAATGCAATAGCTCGCCTCCCACTTCCTCCCCATAGTTACCTCTTCCCTATGTCCCTTCCTCTATGTACTCCTTCCCCTTGAGCTGTCTCCCTGTACATAAGCAGCCCTTCTACTCTCCCATGATTGTTCTCTCCAAGGAGTGTATCTATCTAATGTAAATGTTCCACTCATATGCCTGTCTTTTGTTTGGCTAGAAGCCACAGGAATGGGTTCAATTCCAGACCAGAAGGGCAGCTAGGGACCATAGTCTCAGTGGTTCCATCAGGCTCTATCAGACCAGCAAACCTGGTCCTGCCACCCGCCTTTTTTTTTTAAATGACTTTGAATTTTGTTCCACATTGTTCTCCTACTCTATCCAGGATCTCCTACTCTTTCCAGGATCTCCTACATAGACCCCCGCCTCTGAGTGGCTGATAGTGGTAGCCGGGCACCATCTAGTTCTTCTGGTCTCATAGTTGTATTGCATGAGGAATGCATGGTGTACCAGTCCCTTGGACTAATTGTTTCCATGAGTCTTGGTTTTCTTCATTCTTCTTTGTTCTGGACAAGGAGAGACCCATCGTTGCATCTAGAAGGCTGCTTGAAAGCTTTTAAGATACCAGTTACTACTCACCAAAGTAGGATGTGGAACAATGTTTTTGTGTATTATGTTATGACAATTGAGCTTGATGTCCCCTGGGTCTATGGTCCGGAGCTCACACTACTTGCTCCCACTGGGTAGCTGGCTGTGGCCAAGAAGTGATTACAACTTTGTCCCTTGTCAGCTCTTCTATATACCTGGGAATTCTTACAGAACATACAAATACACTTGTAGAAACACTGTCTATCAACCCTATACATGGTCGTGGGCAACTCCGCCCTGCACAGACATACCTAATAGTTCAGCCTGTCCACCCACCTATCCACACATATATCAATGTCTGCCTTCACTGACAACACAGTACTGTATGTGCAAAATGGTTCATCTTTGTTGTTTGTACCTTCCATGCACCTCTCTCTGTCTTCTTCTTCCTCAAAGCCACTGTGTTGATCATTCACATTTGGTACATATAATCCTTGTTTGAAATATGGTTCTTCACTTTATTTACTGCTGATGGTATGCTTTCACCGAAGAAATTGCCTTCCCCAACCTTCTATCCAAATGATAATACAATGACTAGGAACAGGGTCAGCATCATTGAATAATAAAAAAAAGGGGTATCACTTTTAGTCTTGGGAAACCTGTTTTGGGTAAACAACCTCTAGAATTGCCTTCCCTATCCTCAATCCCTGCATTCAGTCATTCACAGTAAGTAAGAAAAACCTAAAAACTGCACTGAAGGGGTATCTAGGAATAAAATGGAGTCCCTGATCTCAAAAGTTTAGTCTACGGTGGAAGACTCATAATAGATACTTGAATTATAGTTTTTACTAATTTAAGACTTCCAATTAAGAATGGAAAATTTAAAAATTATGTTTTATTTCTGGTTCTTCCTAAGAACATTAATAATAGTAAGAGGTTTTTTTTAAAGACATAAATTTTAAGGATTATTAGAAAAGATAATAGCAGACAGCCTAGGTCAACAGAATTTTGGAAATTATAAAGTAAAAGCCAATTCTTGTTATAGAACCTTGGGAATATTTTGGATCATCTTTAAGGTGAAGAGGCCCAACCCACTGCCATCAAGTCAATTCTGACCCATAGGGACACTGAAGGACAGAGCACAATTGCCCCACAGAGTTTCCAAGGCTGAAATCTTTAGAGAAGCAGAATCCACATCTTTCTCTCTCAGAGTGGTTGGTAGGTTCAAAATGCCAATCTCTTGGTTAGCAGTTGAGCTCTTTAACCACTGCACCACTAGCATTCCTCGATAAAGGGGCAGGTGGGGCTAAAATAGGCAAATTAATCGCAAGTATATAATTGAAGCAGTTAGAATGCTAAATGCCTTCCTCATCCTTGCAGAAGACTGGAGACTTGTCTTCTGGAAAGGCTGAACCAGAGGACTTTATAGATGGGGATACTGGGTACAGCTCAGGTGGAACAGGGTGGGAGAGTGAAGACAGTGAGGTAAGTAAAAGTCTGTGTATGAAATGTAAGACTCCCTCCAACCCCTTTCCCCTAGGAGACTCCCAGAGCACTAGCAATCAACCTTATACTTGCACCCTACCCTACATCTAGTTAGGAGATGGAAGGATTCTTATTTGGGGAATTGAGAACCAGAGAAAAGCCTCACAGATCCTGATACATACGAGTGTCTTAACTGTAGCATCTGGTCTGTGCTTGAGACCTACAGAGAAGCCCACCAACAAAAAAGCCTCTTATGCACACACAGAGTTTCCAATTGGCATTTTAGTGTTTTCTCTTAAACCTGAGCAGAAAAACAAGGGTCATCTTACGTTTGAGGAAATCCTCCATGAGTGTTAGAACAAAACAAACTAGCAGAAAGGAACCTGGAGGAAACAGGAGAAAATGTGACAGAGAGAGAGAGAAAATTTACATGAAAACTATATCCTCATCTATGAGATATGAACAGAATGCTACAAAAAAGGAACAAGGAAACAAAAAGGTTTCTTGGAAACAAAAATTAAAAATTCATAAGGTTGGAAAATAAAATTGAGAAAATCTTCCAGACAGTAGAATTAAAAAACAAAGAGATGGAAAAATTTTAAGAAAATGAGAGACTAGAAGGTCTGAAAACAAGAGTTCTACCAAGATAGAACAAAGAAACATTCATAAAGGAAATTATTAAATAACACAATATTTCTCTTCTGTGAAGTTATCAGATTCATATGAAGGTGCATTAATGTAAAATTTCAGAATACTGACAATAAAACAAAGAGTCTTAAAATTTTTACTAAGAATAGTAAAAAAAAGGTCACAAAATCCAAAGGATTGGGAATATAAATAGAAGTGGCTATTCTGGCAGAAATACTTGGATACTAGCAGAGAATGAGCAATGTCTTTAAAATTCTAAGAAAATTATTTCCTACCTAAAATTCTATATTCAGCCAAACAATCAAATAAATATAAGACTATGATAAAGACATTTTCAAATGTTTCCAAAAACTTTTCTCCTATGGATCCTTACTAAGGAAGCTACAAGAAGATATACTTCAGCAAAATGAAATGAAGGAGTATAACCAAAAGAGAAGGCATTAGATCCAGGAAGCAGGATCCAAAATAGAAGTGACATAACAAGAATTCTCAGGATGATGGTAGAGGGAAAGGACAATAACAGCAATACAGCAGGCCTGAAGAACTACTGCCCAGAGCAGAACAGAGCACAGAGGGAAGGATCCAAGAAACAAATAACTTGGTAATCTACTAATATGTTTTAGCACATCTGCAGCATAGTGCCTAAGGCGCTTGACTGCTAACAGAAGGCTGGCAGTTCAAATCCACCAGCTACTCCTCGGAAGGAAGGTTGGCCAAACTACTTCTGTAGTGATACTGCCTTGGCAACCCAAGGAGGGGTCGCTATGAGTCGGGTCCGATTCGATGGCACATAACAACAACAGGCGATTTATTCTTCTGTCACAGACTTTGGGGGAAAATTAATGAAGGGTGGGTATGTAGAAAACAAAGTAAACAACAAAAAAAGAGAAAATCTTAAAATAGAGAAAAATAATTGTATAAGAAAGGAAATGTAATCAGAGCATATTATTAGACTCAGCTATGAATAATATTTAAACTATAGTAATCCTGTAAAACTGTTAAAAACAGATTTAACTAAAAATTGTGGTTTAAAACATACTGGGAGGCTCCTCATCTGGAGGCAAAGAAGAATGAAGAAAACCAGAGACGCATGAAAACTATTAGTCCAAGGGACTAATGGACCATGAAAACCTCAGCCTACATGACTGCGAGACCAGAACAAGATGGTGCCTGGCTACCACTGTCAACCACTTAGAAAGGGATCAGTGCAGGAGATACTGGATAGAGTGGGAGAACAAGGTGGAATGAAACTTAAAATCACGAAAATGACCAGGCTTACTGGTCTGACACAGCCTGCTGAAACCCCCGAGACTATGGCCCTTAGTTATCCTTCAGATCTGGAATTGAACTCACTCCTTTGGCTTCCAGCCAAACAACAGACAGGCATATAGTTTGAACATCTACACCTGGTAGATACACTCCTTAAGATGATCAATCATGGGAGAATAGAAGGGCAGTATTTGCACAGGGAGATAGCTCAGGGGGCAGAAATGCATAGGAAAGAAGGACATAGGCAAGAGGTAACTATAGGGAGGAAGTAGGAAGAAAGGTGTTACATTGTGGGGATTGTAATAAATTTCATGAAACAAAATGTGTGAACTGCTGTATGGAAAATGAATTTGCTCTGTGAACTTTCACCCGTATCACAATAAAAATCCTTTAAAATATAAATAAATAAAACACACTGGAAGGTTGTGGGGATAGTGTATGATATGTGTGTGGGGGTAATGATTTTGCAACATGCGACAGCAAGCTTAATCTTTACAATCTATACTGAAAAATAAAAAAACTAAAAAATTACACATGTTGTTGTTGTTATGTGCCGTCGAGTCGGCCCCGACTCATAGCGACCCCTTCTTGGGTTTCCGAGGCAGTATCACTACGGAAGTAGGATTGCCCAACCTTCCTTCCGAGGAGTGGCTGGTGGATTTGAACCGCCAGCCGTCTGGTTAGCAGGCAAGTGTCTTAGCCACTATGCTACCAGAGCTCCCTACAATACTTAAAAAAATGGACAAAAACACTAAAAGAGATAAAGTTGAAAGTGATGGTCTCTGAGGAGGAGTGGGGCATTAGGAGCCTTGAAGTACTAACTGTTAAAATTATATACATGTATTATCTTGATAAAAAATAAAAATTAAATCCAAAATAAGCATAATTTAATTTTTTGAATAAAGGTCAATATTAATTTGTGAAAACAACTATAATACAGGGGAAGTTATTTTCCTTTATTCAACATTAATGCTAATTTACTATGTCCTTCAGATTCTCTTCCCTTGTTTACCTGGGCTTTTTGGTGGGGGGTGCGCCATCATTGAAGAATCCAAAAATCTTGTCTATATCAGAGGCCTGGCTCCCTGTAGAAGCCATCCAGTTTCTAAAACAGATTAAACACCATGGGCGAAGATTAGATCTTTAAAATATACCATTCAAAACAGCACATACAGTAAATATTAGTTTTAAAAAGTTATACATTCTAAAAGTGTTCTGGAGATACCTCTTACTTTAACAGAAATTCACCAATTAACTAGAGTTCCAAACTTCAGGTATTAGGTTTGGTAGCATAGCGCCTAAGGCACTTGACTGCTAACCAGAAGGCTGACGGTTTAAACCCACCAGTCACTCCTCGGAAGGAAGATGGGGCAATCAACTTCCGTAGTGATACACCTCAGAAACCCAAGGAGGGGTCGCTATGAGTCAGGTCTGACTTGATGACACATAACAACAACAAATGACCAAAACCAAACCAAACCAAACTCACTACCATTGAGTCAATTCGACTCATAGTGGCCCCTCAGGTTTCTGAGGCAGTAACTCTATAGAAGTAGATTGCCTAATTTTCCTTCCAAAGAGTGGCTGGTGGGTTTGAACTGCCAGCCTTCTGGTTAGCAGTCAAATGCCTTAGGCACTATGCCACAAGAGCTCCTATATCTAAGTGAAATAAACTCTAAAATGATAGAATGTTGGTGCTCCATACTGCCATCTTTCTTTTGTTCCTGGAGTGCCCTAAGACAACAGGGTCAACTCATGTTAATTATTGGCCATCACACTGTGGAGCTTAAGAAATACCTGCTATTCTCCCATATGAGGCAGGTTTTGGGAAAACTTAGAGGATAAAAACAACTCATGAATAAGTGTGCTAATTGTTCCCAATCATCCATTTAATATCAGCTGAAGAAATCACTAGAAAAGAACAATCAATACTATTTGCTGATTGTTAAGACACTCCTTCCTTACAACTATGCCCTCACTGGCAGTGGGGTATATCTCTGTAGTTAACTATAGAGTGGACTTTTAAATCAAAACACCATGGTAAAGGGTAAAGGCATTATCAAAGATGTATGGAAAATGTCCAATTGTCTTCTGATGATGAGATAACTAGCAAAAGTGAAAGATTTACATAGATTTGAGAGTCACTGGGCAACATTAACTATTTATTCTACTTTCTGTTGTCATGTGCTGTCGAGTCGGACCCAACTCATAGCGGCCCGTCCTTGGGTTTCTGAGGCAGTATCACTATAGACGTAGATTGCCCAACCTTCCTTCCAAGGAGTGGCTGGTGGGTTTGAACCGCCAGCCTTCTGGTTAGCAGTCAAGTGCCCTAGGCACTATGAGCTCCTTCTACTTTCTAACACTGCCTATTTTTTCAAAGGATCAGTCCATTTAAAAAGAGGGCAGATTACTGGAAGATCTTAATTGCACCAAATGAGTATGTAAGAAATGGTTGATTTATTCTGTCTTGTGATCATGTTCATATTCAGATACGATTCATTTACTCCTACAAATCTATGATCTAAAAATTGGTGTTTTATTAATTAGATTACATCCTTCTAGAAGAAGAAATCCTAAATGAATAGACTGTAATTTAGTGGGGGATGAGGCAAATGTCGTTTAATAGACAGAGTAGTCTATTTACTTTCCCTTCAGCTGCTTGAATAACACAGAAACACTGAAAAGTCATGCTTAGTTGTTACAGGATACACTTCTTTTCAAAGTTTAATGGCAGGGGTAGTATGTATAATATAGATTTTATACATTTGATTATTAATGATAAATGAAATTCTAACTGTATAATAAAAAGAGGAAAATTCCTTAAAAAAAAAAAAGTAAAAGATTAACTACGGAAGGAGAATTGTAAGAGAATTTTTAATTGCTCAAAACTTCAATAAGCATGCTAAATTGAAAGACTGTTAATTCTAAAATAGCAGTATTTTAAATACGCATACATACAACACAGAAGACAATATATACCACCCAAGTTTTGTGTATTTCATTTGTAATATTTAGAAATAATTAAATTACTAATAATTATTGGACATTTACTGTTTAAAAGAGAAAGCTTTTCTCTTCATTATTTTTGAAAGTTGTCTGAATTAATTTTTCTGGTAAACAGAAGGCTCAGCACACCGTTTCCTTCCCCTCCCCAGATATCACTGTCACTAAAATTATAAAGTTAGAAAATAAAAATTATAAAATGACAGAAATGAGTTAAGAAGTAGATCACCTTTCTATTGAAATCTTCAATTCTGTTGGTGATATGGACTGAATTGTGTTCCCCTTCCCCAAAACATACATGTTGTAAATTCTAACCCCTATACCTGTGGTTGATCTTTGGTGGTGCATTTGGCTGCCAACCAAAAAGTTGGCAGTTCAAAATCTCCAGCCACTCCACAGGTGAAAGATGTATCAGTCTGCTTCTACGAAGATCAGTCTTGGAAACTCTATGGGGCAGTTCTACTCTGTCCTGTAGGGTTGCTATGAGTGGTAATTCCATCAGGAAATGAGTTTTCTTTGTTACGTTAAGGTGACAGTATTACTGCAAGGTATGTCAAACTCTTTTGAGATATAAAAAAGAAAAGCAAGCAAGCAAGCATACACAGAGTGGAAGATACGTGCAACATGAATGCCAGGGACCTTCCCCCAGAGCAGACAGAACCTTCCTCTAAAACCAGGGGCCTGAATTCAGACTTCTAGCCTTCTAAGCTGTGAAAAAACAACTATGTTTGTTAAAGCCACCCACTAGTGGTATTTCTGTTACAGCACACTAGATAAGAAAAACAGTTAGTAAGAAAGCTGGGGCTCAGAGAAGACAGATGAATCATAAATGATTCATAACTGAGTAAATCTTGCCTTAACTAAATAATTTACCTGAGATGCTTATAGAAAGTATATGTTCCTAGGCTCTACTCCAAAATTACTGAACCAGAATTTCTAGAATCTTTAGGTGATTCTTACAATCAGGCAAACAGGAAATACCTAAATGAAATGCAAACTTAATTTACCTGGAACTCAATTATTTTGTTAAATGTAGGATGCACATCAGTATGGTTCTGCTATCCTCCTTTCCTTTAAGTGTATGCATAACTTCTGATAGTTTAGCAGCTTCTCAGTTTGCTACTGCCCATAATCAAGATATACACCAAAATGAAACCCAATGCCATTGAGTTGATTCTGACTCATAGCAACCCTACAGGACAGAATAGAATTGCCCCATAAAGTTTCTAGTCTTAAACGTTTACAGAAGCAAGCTGCCTCATCTGTCTCCTGTGGAGTGCCTGCTGGGCTCAAACTACCAATCTTCTGGTTAGCAGCACTGTGCTTTAACCACAGCACCACCAAAGCTCCTTAAAAACCAAAAACCAAAATCCAAATTCACTGCCATCAAGTTGATTCTAACTCATAGTGACCCCCTTTGGGTTTCCAAGGCAGTAAATCTTTATGGAAGTAGATTGCCCAGTCTTCCTTCTATGGATTGCCTATCTTCTGGGAGCTCTGGTAGCATAGTGGCTAAGGCACTTGACTGCTAACCAGAAGGCTGGCGGTTCAAACCCACCAGCCACTCCTCGGAAGGAAGGT